GGTCCCGCCCCCCGCAGCAGCTTAGGATCCACTCACCTAGCTGTGTTGTCTCAGTTTATATCCAGGGCTTTGTCGGGGCTGCTGGGACAAAGGTCAGCAACAGGTCTGCCTAAACTGTAATACAATTTAATGCCATTTTATAGATCAGCAGCAAAAATGATTGAGTTTGTGGGTAGATTGGTCTAGTGCTCCTTCCAGCTTATTGTGGTACAGAAGTTGTAAAAGTGGATTCAGATAAGCTATGGACACTATCTTCTACCTATGTGAAAAAGTTTTTAAAAGGTTTTATGGCAAACTAGTTGGAAGATGCAGAAATACTTTTATATATAAAAATGAAATCTACCACAATTCAATTTAACTTCAAATATGCAACTTTCTTTTGCACATGGTATGTTTGTCCATGTACAAATAGTTTAAGGGGATGGATGGATGCAGATTATTTAAAAGATTTATTTATTTGTGCATACAGAACTGCAGTACAGGCCAGAGGTGCAGGGGCGGTGAGAGGATTCACCAGAGACAGAGTGGGGAGCAGAGCAGGCAGATCAACGAAATACACGAATGGGGGAAGCCGCGGGTGGGGCAGGAGAGGTCTGCTTCGCCTGTGGACCACCTCCAGCGCAGGGATCGGACTGCAGCGAAGCTGCTGCGGCCATCTTCACAATACTGCGCCTAGGCCGCTGCTCCACCAGGGTGGGCCCGGATGTAGATTTATTTTAATCAGTCGTTAATATCCAGACCAATATCCAGACGTTTGGTATTCGGTAAGGCTTGCTCTGTCCAACATATGTATTTTTGAAATGTAAAAACAGGACAGAAAAGACTAAATGTTTTGCTTGAGCATTTTGTTTCCTGTGGTCTGCTGGTCTTGTTATTACCACTAGTTGTTAAATATTCAAGCATTTTACAAAATGGTTATTAAAGGAATAGTAGCTGGAACTTGTCCTTGGTGAGAGTATTTACATCATGGAAGTTGGCAATTGATCAACGACGTTTTTTTCCCTTTAAATACTGTGATCAGTTATACCAATATAATTTCTAACTCCACACTACCTAGTTGGCTTTAGAAAGAATTATAATTAAGATGGGAGTGACTGTCGCTTCTTTTGGAAAAGATTGAAGTGATGATCTAGTGTGAAACTTTTCTACCACTGAAAGCCATTTACCAACCACTGAGGTGGTCCTGAAATTATTTCACTGCTGTACACACCAAGTGTGCGCATGTCAGGGCTAGTTACGTGCATGGGGCTGGAAGGAGAATTCACCGGAAAGAAGGCGGTCAGAGGTTTTGGCCATAACAATGTCCTTAAGAAGATGCCATGTGAGATATCAATCCTCATTTCACCTACATAGATCTTTTGCAAAGCCAAAAAGAGCTAAAAGTCTGGAATAACTGAGCCATGTTATAGAGTGAACACTTTCATTGAACCTTAATGTATGTGACAAATTTTATAGAAAATAAGATAAATGTGCTTAAAATATACTTTTTGTACTTTTAGAAGACACCGTACCAGAAAATGTAAAAAATTTGAAAATTTACTTAGCACACAAACTTAATGCTCCAGTGTATAATCCTTTAGGCCTCAACTTAAGTATAAAGGTAAGTGAACAGCATTTTAATTTTCCTGTTTTGAGTTCAGATAAAACATTCATGTCTAAACTAAGATTGGTTTCAGTTTAAAAGTAAAGGTATCCATGAATGGTGAAAGTAGTATCTTTAAAGTATATGGAGAGTGTTTATTTTTCCTCCATTTCCCTTGATGCTATTATTTCTAAAGATATCTGAACGTTGAATTTAACATAGATAGAAAAGACAAGTAGAAAATATATCTAGGTGGAACAGAATGGATGATTCTAGAAGCTGGGGGAGGGGAAATACACTTCATATTCTACTTAATTATACAGACATTTGTCTTCTGAGTTTAGCTGCCCAAAAGAACACATGAAGGTGATATAATCTATGTCATTGTCATTAAAGCCAGTAAAAATTATGGAACAAACCACTACCATGAATAGGAAGAGTAGCCCAAAGTACTCTTCAAGACCATGTTAGGCTTCATACTTTTGTTTCTTCATTCATACACACACACATCTATATGTATATATACTGCATACATATATGACTTCATATATACATGAGATATGTGCTGATATATGCTATCAGGCCCCTCTGTTGTAAACTCTTATCTTTAATTCTCCATTTTCATTTTGATACATAATGTATATACCCAAGAGTCAGAAGTAGCCTGAAATTTTTCCATGCTACATCTGTAGGGAAAGTGACCACTGTCCAGTTTTCTTAAAATAACAGACATATCAATACCACTAGTGACCAGGTGTGTTTCTCCCACAGGGCTCGGAGCTTTTTCACTTCAGAGTGTCTGTTGTCCCAGGGGTCACCTTCTGTAACTTAGTTGGCGAACTTCAGGTAAAATGAATGTGCAGGGATCAAACGGGGTGCCGGCTAGGGAAGTAACATAACAAACATCCGTCCAGGGGGTGGCTAAGATGGGGAACTAACATGATGACAAGTGTCTGTCCATGAGACACTCAGGGGGAAACATTGACAGAATTTGTGTGCTGGCCAAGGCTGGGAGACAGGGGGTCCTAGAGAATGGCGGTGCCCTTGATGATGAAGTTGGGGTGCATCCTGGTGGCTGGATGCTCAGAAAACCGCAACTCCTTGTGTTTGCTTTTGCTGTCTTCCCTCCTTCCACATTTGGCTTTTATTTTTCTTTTTAGCTTTGAATGCCCTTCTTCTGGCCTCTACCTCACCACAAAGACATACAATGTCTGTAATGGTTTTTTCCCACTGTTCCTCCCTTTGGTTATTTGTATGCTAATGGCAGAGTCCTAACTATTCAAATGATTCCAAGGTCCATAAGAATTGGGAACCAAAATCAATCTCCCTATGATTTGCAATGTCTCAGTTTTACTTACTCTTCTGATGATGTCTGTTGCCTGTGGGGGTTGGGAGAAATGAGAAGTTGCTCAACTGACTAATAACTCATTTGTGTGAAATACTGATGCCACTGTAACAACAACAACAAAAAAAAATCAATCTTTCTTTCTCTCTCCCTTCTGTCTCCCTTTCTCCTTTCTGGCTTGGCCCCACCCCAAAGTCAGCCAGCAATGAATCTTTAGTGCAGACACTAAAGACCCTGAAAGAAAATCCATTTTGCTAGATAAAGGAAGTAGGGGAAAACCCAGCTGTTATTTGAATGATTTTTTTTCTCTTCCTTACTTCTTTGGTTCAAGAACAATCACTGTTTCAGGCAACAGCACAGTGGTACCAGGAGCTAAAATCTTCATAGCTTCCTTCTCAGAGCAGTAGGGAAGAGCCTCTGGTAGTAGAGCATGTGTGGGAAGCCCCTAAGGGGTGAGCCAGACAAGGAGATTCCTAACTCTGTGTCTTAATTGGCACAAGTGCCAAGCAGCACATAAGCAGCACAGACCGAAGGAAACAGAGCAAAGTCTTCAAAGTAAACTGACAGTGTGAGCACTACAAAAGTTCCAGAACCACCCCTGGGACGTCAGAAGCCAGGAAGGCACCATAGCACCGCAGAGGCTTCAAAGACTCAACTGGCAGTGGAACCACAGAAAGTAAAGCACCACTTGTGCTCTGAGCTCATCCAGTGAGACTGACTGCTGAAACAAGCCCCAACGCACAACAGTTTCAATATTTAGGGGGGGTGGGGGTAGCGGGAGCCTGACAGTGTGCAGAGGAACAACTATCAATCCGGAATTCTATACTTAGTGACAATATCCTTCAAGAACAAATAATAAGTAATGGTGTTCTTGTAACGGGGTGGTCCCTAGGAAAAGGGGAAGTTCCAGGTTCCCTGCCCCACCCAGAAGGAGTGTGGAGCTGAGGAGTGAAAGAGGAGAGAAGAGAAGGAATCAGAGGAGAAGAAGAGAAGGAAGCTGGATGGAGAACAAGAAGGAGACCTGAGGAAGTCACATGGAGCAGCAAGCATGTGATGAAGAAA